TTTATTTATGAGTGACTTATGTATGTATGTATGTATATATATGTATATATTGTACTATTCTTAGTTAGTGTATTGTCTGTCTTGTCTTAATGTTGGTTTAAAATGGAGCACTGTAACAAAAAAAATAATTTCCCCCAGGGATCAATAAAGTATTCTGATTCTGATTCTGATTCTGATGAGGCATCTTTCTCAGATCCCCAAACCACCTCAACTGGCTCACTCAGCTCTCTCTTCACCACAACAGACCGGTACAGCATCCGCATCACTGCAGCCAAAGCACCAATCCGTCTGTCGATCTCCCGCTCCCTTCTCCCGTCACTCGTGAACAAGACCCCGAGATACTTAAACTCTAATATTTAACGACTAAAAAGAAGCTGCCTTGTGAGGAAAGTGAAAAAGAAATAAAAAATAATACATGAAAACAGATTTTAATCCAAATAGAGGACACAACATGGGTTACTGTTAACAGTTTCCTGCTTCATAGCACTGGATAACACAGTATTTTTGCATCACAAGTGTAACCTTTTTATTGTTTTGCACATTTATACTGTTTTCAGGTCTATGAAGTTTAGAAATGGATCATAATCCATTTATGTGTAAATATGCTTTTCATTTTCTAGCTTTTAATGAATCAATGACTCATATATAAATATGTAACTTGAAATTCAATAATGTAATTAATCTGTAAAATACTAACAAATCTAAATTGTATTAATGAGTTTGACAAACAGAACAGAATGCAGCAAAGATCCTACGCATTGCCATTGGCTTGTGCAAAAGTCAAATGGCTATATTAGACATTTGGCACACCGGAACAAAATTGTATTGTCCACGTTTTTTCTGCCTGTTGTGAAAATAGACCACGAGGAGGGTAAGACCGATGATCAATAGAGTGAGAAAAGCCCAAATAGCTGGAAAGAGGACTTTACTGGTATTGCCTGTAAGACCAACAAAATAAAACAACATGTGACTTCTATTTAATACATGTTGCCATGCATTGTTGAAATTAAACATCAGTAATTTTTTACTTCCTACATTTCCATAACTGTTCTGCACAGAGTCAGTAATCATACCTGTTATCATCAGTGTGACGAATCGTGTATTTCTCCCAACTTTATTCTCTGCAACACAAACGTAAAAACCAGCATTGGTAGACGTGGCTCTAGTGATAGTGATTATCTTCTGGTGCCCCTCAGTGGTCACATTTGAATTCAAAGCAGGTGTGTAAACCCATCTGATGTTTGAAGGTGGGTTACTGTCAGCACTACAACTTAAAGTAACATCTTCACCCTGGAGCACCTGCTTGCTTTCATTTCCATTCTTGAACTCAGGAGAATCTGGAAAAAATACAAAATTTTGAAAGTAAGTAATGTCCTTCAAAATATATTATCATCTCAAAAATTATATATTTTCACTGTGGAGAAATCATAAAAAGACAATATAATTCTGAAAATTTTAAACTTACACAAAATTTCAAGATACAGTGTGTGTTCAGCTGTTCCATGTGTGTTGTGTGCATTAAGCAAGTATTTTCCACTATCGTTCTTTTTCCAGAGCTGTGGGGAAACCATCTGTTTGCCATCTTTAAACCAGGTGAGGGTGGGTGTAGGTAATCCTACTGGTTCACAGATACTTTGATGTTTATCATTCACTGTGATCTCATAGTGCTCTTTGCAGGTGAAAGAAGGACTGACTGTAAAAATGGTATCAGATTCATTTAAATAAATAAGTAAATAACTGAAAACAAAATATTATCATGTCAATACTTTAGTGTGTTTTATCATTATTCGGCTAAAATATAAAATGATCCAGGTCTGATGCACTCACATTCCACTGTGATATGAACTGAGGTGTTGCTTCTGCCACGACTGTTTTCAACTATAGCCGTGTACTTTCCTGAGTTAGTCCTGGTCAGTGGCTTAGATGAATTAATGAGTTTCTCCTCATAGAACCACTGAACAATGGGAAAAGGGTTCCCATCAGGCTGACAGGATAACATGTCAATGCTGAAGGCAGCACTTTCATTAACAGTGATGTGGTCTGGACAAGATTCCATGAATGGTTTATCTAGGAAGGAATATCAACATAGGTTAATTTATATTTCATAGATCACAGAGCTGTGTCTTAGATTTAAAAATATGAAGTAAGTAGTTGGGAATCTTACAAAGAACAACAGCAGTGTAAGGTGGTGAGGTTACATTAGGGGAGAACTTTGGTCCTTTGGGTCCGAGGTGCAGCTCAGCCTCACATCTAAAAGTTAATCCATTGTAGTCTCTCGGAGTGGAGATTCTCAGAGTAGAAGATGCGTTTACTGGAGTCATAGTGGAGTCATTAAACATCTGTGTGAGCACAGTTTCATTGCCTCTGTACCACGTCACTGTGAGATTCTGTACAGGAGCAACACTGATGACATCACATTTCAGATCATACTCTCTGCCCTCCACCATTGGACCATGACCCATGTCAGACACTGACACAGAGTCTGGAGTTTCTATAAACAAATCAAAGTGGGGGAAAAAACAATCAAATATAAGCATACAGAAAATATGCATTATTTCACACATGATGTTGCTGGTTGCAGATAGATTTTCATTTTGACTAAAACGTACTAACAATTGAATCAGAGTAATTAGAGGATAATAGATACCTGCTGAGCATTATAAGTGAAATCACTGTTGTATTATAATACAAATATCAGTTCATGTAGTTTATAACACAATAAAACAGTGTGTGCACATGTACTTACTATAAACAGTGATGACTGGACTCACAGTATACTGGGATCCATCATTTAGAGTAACATAGCAAAAAGGATTTGGAGTCCACTCTTCCACTTTGTCAACCCTCCAAGTGACAACAGGAGGACGCTCAAATCCTGTACCTCCAAATGGAGCCTCCCAGCCCATTCCTTCAACATCTGTGGCTGATGTGCTGCAGTTGATTAAAACTGGATCTCCAAATCTCACAACCATTTCAGAAGGTGTCAGTGTTAAAGGGAAACCTGCTATTCACAAAGAAATGTTTTCAGTCACAACAGTCAACAGTATGTGACTATGTCTAGCCTGTTTCAGTTTAAGCGTTGTTTTCATTAAGTTGCATGATCAAAAGAATGTTTTGTCTCACTCCCATTTCTTTTTGTTGCATGTTGAAGCTGTGGTTGGAGCCCTGTTAAGATTGAACCATGCAAAATATGATTTTTTGCCATTTTTCAAGTGGTCTTAAACTACATGAAACGGAACAAAAAACTAAATCAAAAAACAAGTTCAAACTACAGAACTCACTAAGTGCCCAAGACACTAGGGGAAGAAGATCAGGAAACAGAATAACACCCAGGAACTACTCTGATGAAGATCAAAGGGAAACTGAGACAATATAGACACAAGAGAGTTATTAGGGGAAGCGGAGACTAATAGGAAACACTCAGGAACTCAGGAATAGCGTGGCGAGTAAACTCATCACAACTCACAAGAGACAAGAGAGTATCACAATAAAACAGGAATCGAACAAACACAAAGACCTACTGATACAAACCTGATTCAGAAAAAGAGCAAACACAGAGACAAAATGCTGTTTAATCACAGAGACAAGACAAACAGCTTGTGGACAAGAGAGGAAACTTGCACTAATACAAAAGAGCTAAGAGCTAAGCTAATTCAGAAGCATTAAGGAAATGACATTAAATTAAATACCATAGAACTAGAACATAAATTATTAATTATTTACCCAAAAGTAAATCAAAAACCACCAAAACTCAAAACACATAACCCAAGATCCTAGCAACAAAGTTTTGTAAATGGTGCTAGATTCTGATGATTTACTGATGATGTTTCAACCATAAATAACACTTTTAACTTGAAAATGTTAAATGTTAAAAATTCAGATGTTATATCAGTGACAAGTTTCATCTTTTTTATTTTAATTTGAATCTCATTAAAAGGGAAGCATTTACAAAGCACCATTATTTTCAGTTTGTCGTTACCCTCGCTGCTGACATGTGGAGATTGTGGCCATTGAAACTAAATGCAAGCCATAAACTGAAAGTGAAGTTAAAAAAGAAAGTAAAATGTTTTGTTCTTAACTGCCAAATGAAATACTATCCAACCTATCCTTTCCCACCTGCATTACACAGCCAGTTTATGACACATAGAGCTCTTAAGCACTCACCACACACTGAAAAGATGAGCATGGGGAAGCCCAGCATCCAGACAAGCAGCATGTTTAGTCAGCATACAGGATGAAGCAGATGGATGGAGGAGGTGAAGACTGTTTCAGGATTGCCCAGCAGAAGTTCAGTTTCAGGATTTGCATTAGATATCCTGCAGTACAGGATTCAACGTTATCTTTACAGGTCCCCAAATAGCTCGTCTTAATTGATTATCCTACAATCACATCTTTACAACATTTGTCATTGTCTAAAAACTTAAATATCTGGCCAATTACAACTATGACAAGTACAATAATCCATGTCATCAATAGTGGGCAAATATTTGTCCAACTTATCTTTTTAAATAATAGATATAATACAATATGTTTTTTAGTTGTTGTTTTTTTTTAAATTAGGTAGTTTACATCTATATGTAAGATAATAATTGTAAAGCTCAAGATTCAGACAAAATCTAAACATTGAAAAATGTGTCCAGGATTAACTTTAAAAAGCTTCACTTTCCACAAAAGCAACATGTTAGTAATAAAAAAAAACACTCTTTGTTTCAACTACTAAATGTTAAAGAAAAAACTGGGAAAACACAGGGCGCTAACTGTGAACGCAAAGTTCTGCAAACACAAGAGAGTTTCTACGCATTCATTCCTTGCCAGAAGACCTCTGGTGTTAACACAGATTCTATAAAAGATTGATGCAGCCACCAAGCCTGTCATGAAGACTCGAGTTGATAACACTTTGTACACACTCCTGTGTTGCTTTTGTTGATATGGATGAATCACATGCTCCACATGAGAGACGTGCAGCTACTTTGACTGAGCTAATGCTTGAAGTTGATTGTGGTGGTGGATACTATGTACACTCTGTTAGGACAAGGGGTGAGAGAATTTGTTACTTTTTCACTTACAATACATGTAATAATTAATTAATGTAAATATAACTTTAAGCGTGCATTTTTTGCTTTCTGCCTGCTGCCAAGAAAAGTTTATCAGCACTTATGGTCCTACCAGTGGAAACTGACCACTGGTAACACAAATGACCTACTTTTGGAGGAGGAAAGAAAATGTACAGCACACACACCAGGTTAGTTATAGTTGACTGAAACTTCATCTGCTGCACCTCACACATTTCTATGAGATGGTGACTTTGAGCAACAGTGCTGCAAGGGCAAATTTTGAAACAATGTTTTAATTTACGTATAGCTAATACCCACACATGCTCGAGTGACATGTTGAGATGCTGCAAAATTTTCACTTTCACTATGACACACAAAGATCCCCTAGTTTGAACATTGCTGGATTTTTATGTGAAACATAATAGGAAATTTTAGGATTCTGATTTTCTCTGTTTTAAGTTGATTTGGCTGAGTGGAAGGCTCTACATGTTTTATCTTATAGATATATTCATCTGTACAAGTTATCTTTGGAATGTTCTGACTGTAATCTGTGAACATGATGGGTAGACAATGTGTTTCTATGCTTCTACGCTTGTTGTCATTCTTTGTCAAAAGCCATGCAGACTGCTGTTGTACTCTGTACTGTTGTTTGACCCCTTTGCAAAGACAAATTAAAACCTCACAAAGACAAGCTGTTTGTGTAGATCAGTTTCTTTCAGATTTCCATAACACCACTGAACTTGACACCCTTGGACCTTTGGCTGTGCATAGCTCTGTCCATAAAAATTACAAATAGAATGGTTGATAAATGGCCACCCTGGCAGAGTTAATTCATGTGTTTGGAATTATAGTTATAAAATTTAAACAAGATCTATATTATTAAAAGAATGAACAGACTGTTTTTGGTTTTTTTTGCTTTGTTTTTTGGTGCTGTTAGGCTCCGTCTTATTACAAATTTGTTATACAGAGCATTAACTGTGAACAGTTTTTGTCTTGAATAACTTTTGCAAAGTAAATTCGTTTGACTTTTTACTCAAGTTAGAACCTTACTGAACGACCTTTATGGTGCCAGAGATTGTCATGATCATGTAATTTTAATAGTTTTTAAAATTTAGCAGTTGTGGTTCTGATTTCTATTCTTTTATCAGGTTTTCTGGTTCCTACTGTTGTTTACTGTGTAAGTTTCATTCTTTTTCATTGGTATTCTGTTCCTCTTCTGTTCTATATTCTGTTAGTACTAGTTTTCTCAGTCTTCCCTCTGTGTGGTAAATGTCCTTTGAATTTAGCTTGATATTCAGTAATGTACAAAATACTAAGAAACTAAAACTTTAAACTAAATGTTAAAGAGTACAGAGTATAATGCCTGCATTCAAAATATATTAAAGTAAAAGCAGAAAGTAGCAATACAATACGTAAATGTTAGGCGATACTCATCTGCATTCGGAATGGTCCTGTCTCAGCTGTCCTCCAATGGTGTCGGACATTAAACAGTACTAACAAAACTATATTACTACTTTAAGGCACTTCTAAGTTGGTTTCACTTTTCATATCGTGACTATTAGCTTCTCACTTCTTTCCTCACCTTGCAGAAAATGTATGTTAATGACACTGACAATATCATACATACAAACGAGGCAGATGATAGACTCACCCAAAGCCCTGTGTCCAAATCAACGGTCACTTATTTGGCCAAACTTTTAGATTATTTCTCTCACACAAAAAAAGAAAGAAAAAAACCTCTCCAAAGTTATCCCAACAGCTTGGAGGACGCCCCAAGGGAGTACAATCTCAGCATGATGTAAACCTGCTCCGGCGTTTCTTTCTTCAGTTCAAACTCGAAATCAACACCATGATCCGACATTTAACTCGGGCAGTTCTTGTTCTTTCAAAAAAAATTTTACATTGCGACAAAAACAGGAACAAACTAGTTTTCGCATCCCCGTCAAGCGAAAATACTACTAGTCTGTGTCGCATCTTGATAGCCTGCACTGGTCAAAGTTGTACTTCTGCATTGATAGCGTACTTCTTTAATCTGGTGTATAAAAATCATTCCCCGAGATACAAGCTCCGGAAATTCTGATTCTGTGCTTTGCTTGGGTTTTATATTGCATGGGCTGTGATTTTAATCTGTGGCTGTATTCTTTCTTGATGCATGTTTTTGTTGTGAAAGTCGAGTTTTACTTACAGCTGAGGGAGTTCGTGTCCTTGAAGGACACTGTCGTCAGCCAATTAGGACAGGGAGCCACCAGGAAGGGACCAATGAAGTGGCCTGGTGGGAGGGACAGAGACACGGTGCAGAGAGACCTTGCTGTGGGGCAGGAGGAGAGGTGGGGAGGTTCTCGCCCAGCCTTGTGAGGTGAACGACTGGAATTGCTAGAGACGGAGAAATACAGAAGTGCAAAACGAGCGGAACTACGAGAGAATCGGTTGCGGATAGAGTTAAGATCTGTGCTCAACTATTAATGTTCTTATAAGGAAATTAAATCCAAATTTGGTAATTCGGAGCAAATGACTGCCGGTTGTTCATCCTTTGCACAGGGGATCAGCGCCCAGCACGCTATAGATTGAAAAACACAGATTAGTGCATTCCAAGTCGGGAGGGACCTGATCCTCCAAATTTCTTGTGGACCTGATCAGTGAATTTTGATTGCACTTTAAGCTTTGTGTTAGGGAGCCTCTGAGTATAAAGACTTTTTGTTCAGTCAATTGCCTGAGACCCATAGCTTTGGGTTTTGCTTTTTCTTGTGATTTTTAATGCTTAATAAAGTTTTTCAAATGTTGTATTGTTGCAAATATATTATTTTTAGATTTACTAATGAGAGTCTTTGTTATTCAAGGTAATCTTTCGTGATAATCAAAACCCAAGGCTCGGACTGAAGCAAACATTATGCTCCTTTAGCATAATGGATATTAACTAAAACATAGTTCTTTATCCTTCACTGTCTGAAAAACCTCTGAACTACTGGCATGTATTGGTCATTGTAAAATAGTCTGTTTGGTCACAATTCACCTGTAATGACTTGTTAAAGGCCTTTAAAAGGAAAAAGAAAACACATATCCTCATCTTGTTTATTTAAGTATTTATTTAATTAACTGAAAATAAAACCTAAGGAAACCATCACTTTACACTCTGACTAATACTGGGCGACACCCACCTTTTTGAATCAAATCATTAAGGATCCATAATTAAGTTCTGATCCATGAAAATAGGATATTTTGTTTAAATACAGTGACATATGGCCGAACAATGTACACAACTCATATTTCAAGACTGAAAAGAAGCTGCCTTGTGAGGAGAAAGAAAAAGACAGCAAAATATAAAAATAAGATTTTATTCCAAATAGAGTACACAACAAGTGTTTCTGAATAAACATTTTAATGTACAGGTTTGGTTAATAGTCCTTAAAATGGCTTGTATGTAACAAAGCAGAAATAATAATAAGACTGTTGTGAAATATAACTCTGGAAAATGAGAAATGTGGAAGTACTGTTCTTAAAGTGAGATTGTCACTTCTATATCGTCATAGGCCAACAGACCTTTTGCTAGCAGGCAAAGTGTGCTTCAAGTGCATTAGCTATGCTAAAGAAACACAAATTGTATTTGTGACAATAAATTAATTGGACTTTCAATTTTAATGTGTTTTTGAGATAAGAGGGGATGCAAAAAGTAATGTAGGCCTACAAATGTTTTAATAAATAGGCTTTGTATTGAGGTTTATTTACTAGTTGGTTGCTTTGAGCTTATAATATATTGTATTTGGTGATGCAAGAGATATATTTGCGTAACCTGAACAAATACTGGTTTACCATCGTTAATGTGAACAAATGTTGAGATATTGTTACAATTGTCACAGTTCAAGTACAACTAAAGAAGAACATTCATGGACATGAGTCACTCTATTGTGCTTTAGTTCTCATGTAATGATAATAGGGTTATTCATGCACTTCTTGGCAATGTATTAACATCTGTCGTTCCGTACCTTTCAAAGAGACGCTGGTCATCATAGAAAGAGATTGAGTTTGTCTCTCTTTGTTTAAGGAAGTAGAATAAATCCTGTGATTAAAGCTGTAAACAAGCTTATGATCCATTCTTCTGTATTTTAATAAACAGTTGCAGGATTTTGGATCACCTCCCTACCTGAAACCCACCAGGCCAGGGGGCAACATTTGATATACAGAACAGGATTCGTTAAAAATCCTTAGCTTTTCCATTGGCTTGTACACTAGTCAAAGGGATATTTGAGACATTTGACACTTTGACAGGAAAAAAACTGTAATGTCCACGTTTTTTTTGGCAAATGCGACAACAGACCACAACAAGAATCAGAATGATGATCAATAGAGTGAGCAACAGCCAAATGATTGGAAATGGGATTTGACTGCTTTTACCTGTAAGAGAAACAAAATTCAAAACATAAGATTCATTTAATTTCTCAATCCCATGCATTGTTGAAATTGAACATCAGTAATCTTTCACTTTCTACATTCCCATAGCTCTTCTGCACTGAGTCAATAATCATACCTGTTATCATCAGTGTGATGAATCGTGTATTTCTCCCAACTTTATTCTCTGCAACACAAATGTAATAACCAGCATTGGTAGACGTGGCTCTAGTGATAGTGACAGTCTTCTGGCGCCCCTCAGTGGTCATGTTTGAATTCACTGCAGCTGTGTAGATCCAGGTGATGTTTGAAGGTGGGTTGCTGTCAGCACTACAGCTTAAAGTAACATTCTCACCCTGCAGTACCTCCTTGCTTTCATTTCCTTCTTTGAATTCAGGGGCATCTGGAAAAAATACCAAATTTTGAAACAGAAATAATATCCTTCAAAATATGCTATCATCTCAAATTACTTATTTTCACTGTTGAAAAATCATAAAAAGACTATATCATTCTGAAAAATTAAAAACTTAAAACTTACACAAAATTTCAAGATACAGTGTGTGTTCAGCTGTTCCGTGCGTGTTGTGTGCATTAAGCAAGTATTTTCCACTATCGTTCTTTTTCCAGAGCTGTGGGGAAACCATCTGTTTGCCATCTTTAAACCAGGTGAGGGTGGGTGTAGGTAATCCTACTGGTTCACAGATACTTTGATGTTTATCATTCACTGTGATCTCATAGTGCTCTTTGCAGGTGAAAGAAGGACTGACTGTAAAAATTATACAAATTCATTTTCAGAGTAAATAATTGAAAACAAAATATTATCTTGTCAATACTTTAGTGTGTTTTATCATTATTCGGCTAAAATATAAAATGACCCAGGTCTGATGCACTCACATTCCACTGTGATATGAACTGAGGTGTTGCTTCTGCCACGACTGTTTTCAACTATAGCCGTGTACTTTCCTGAGTCAGTCCTGGTCAGTGGCTTAGATGAATTAAGGAGTTTCTCCTTATAGAACCACTGAACAGTGGGAGGAGGGTTCCCATCAGCTTGACAGGATAAAATGCTCTTGCTGAAGGCAGCATTTTCAACAACAGTGATGTGGTCTGGACAAGATTCCATGAATGGTTTATCTAGGAAGGAATATCAACATAGATTAATTTATATTTCATAGATCACAGAGCTGTGTCATAGATCAGAAACATGAAGTAAGTTGGTGGGAATCTTACAAAGAACAACAGCAGTGTAAGGTGGTGAGGTTACATTAGGGGAGAACTTTGGTCCTTTGGGTCCGAGGTGCAGCTCAGCCTCACATCTAAAAGTTAATCCATTGTAGTCTCTCGGAGTGGAGATTCTCAGAGTAGAAGATGCGTTTACTGGAGTCATAGTGGAGTCATTAAACATCTGTGTGAGCACAGTTTCATTGCCTCTGTACCACGTCACTGTGAGATTCTGCACAGGAGCAACACTGATGACATCACATTTCAGATCATACTCTCTGCCCTCCACCATTGGACCACGACCCATGTCAGACACTGACACAGAATCTGGAGTTTCTGTAAATAAATAAGCGAAATCATTGCTATATCATATTACAAATTTCAATTCATATAGTTTATAACACAATAAAGCATTGTGGACATTGTGGTCTCATGTACTTACTGTAAACAGTGATGACTGGATTCACAGTACACTGTGATCCATCAACCAGAGTAACATAGCAAAAAGGACTTGGAGACCACTCTTCTAGTTTTTCAACCCTCCAAGTGACAACAGGAGGACGCTCAAATCCTGTACCTCCAAATGGAGCCTCCCAGCCCATTCCGTCAACATCTGTGACTGATGTGCTGCAGTTGATTGAAACTGGATCTCCAAATTTCACAACAGTTTCAGAAGGTGTCAGTGTTAGTGAGCAACCTGCCATTCACAAGAAAATATATTCAGAGTTAGAGATGATTTGGTGTAAAATAAGACATAAGTCAGCAGTTTCATCTAAATCATCCACAATTTTAGATGTGAAGTAAGAATATATACCTGTTGGTTCAACATGAAGATGGATTGTCTTAGTTATGTTTCCCAGATAATTGGTAGCTGTGCATGCGCAGGTTTTATTGCCATTTACTCGAGGTAAACTGAGACTGGTTGTGTTCTCCAACATGTTTTTCCCATCACAAATCCAGTTATACACAGGAAGAGGGTTTCCAACAGCTTCACAGCTCAAGATGATATCAGTGCCCTCAAGTGCATAAGTGTCATCAGCACTATTTTGTGTCTTTAGCTCCGGAGCGTCTGAAATGATAAACAGTTTTTTATCAGTTCTCACATTTACACAATTGAAAGCTGAACAGAAGGGAACTTGTGTTTAATCTTTAAAAAAAATAAAAATAAACTTCTGTTCATGTGTAAACAGCAGGATATTTACTCACAGTGGGCTGAAACTCTGTGTGTTTTAGAAATGGCAGGAAGTTTTGGTCTGTGTGGTCCAAAGTCCAGCTGAGCTTCACATCTGAACTCCACTACATTTTCTTCTCTGCTGATGTTGACTCTCAGAATAGAGGACTCATTTACTGGAGTTTTGGTTGTTGTGTCATTGAAAGATTCTGTCTGGATTTTTTCACTGTTTTTGTACCAGCTAACAGTGACATACTGAACAGGAGCAACATTGATGATGTCACACTGCAGTCTGTACTGTGTTTCTTCTCCTATCACATTCACAAGCTGTACAGAATGAACAACTTCTGGATTCTCTGCCAAACAAAGTTAGACAACAGTTAGTTACTCGTGATCGTTGCTTTTAGTTTTCTTAGCATTGCTCTGTATTCATTTCAAATTAAACTTACTGAATGTAATAACTTGAAGGTCCTTGCTGCATTCATGAGACTCATTTAGTTTTACTTTGCATTTGATCGTCACATTCCAATCTGACAGTGACACTGACTGGGAGATAGACATTTGTTCTTCTATGATGCGAGAGGTTTCATTTCCAACTGTAAAGTACAGCCCTTTATGTTCAGCCAGTGCTGTGGTGCAGTTTACAGTGACAGGATTTACTCCATATTCTTCTATGATCTCAGGTGGACTCAGAGTAAGAGGGTTGTGCTCTGGTGGGCATATGCTGTCAGCATCTGTAAATAGACAAGATTGATGTGCTTATTAGGTTTTATTTGTCCTGCTTCACATTTTTTCACACTAAGTATTAATAATAAACAGTACAAAACAAAATCAAAAAGAATCAGTAATATATGGTAAAATGCAGGATATTAAAATGCAGCCACTCATTTGCCTCAACTGTTTTTAAGCATATCCCTCATGTTCAGAGGTTCAGAAATCCTTGAAAAATTGACCATGTGAGGCCCAGTGAGATCTCAGTGCAATTAAAGAAGGCCAGTATTACAATGACAAAGCAAAGTAAATCAGAGATATTAAAAATTTAGTTAAGTGTCCTAGTCATGTGTAATAATTCTTAAAAAGAGAGAATACTAGAGATGGCACGATACCACTTTTTTATGTCCGATACCGATACCGATATCATAAATTTGGATATCTGCCGATACCGATATGAATCCGATATAGTGTTTTTTAATCAACAAAACTGTTTTTTAAAATATCTTGCTGCATTTTGCAAGTCTGCAAGTTCATACTCAAGTTTAAAACAACAACTACACTAAAGCTATTCTGTTATACCTGTATACAAAAAAAATATTTCATAGTTCAGCAATACTGATCAATCTAATAAACTTAGACCTACACCATCCTCCCTATTCTGGTATTTTAAAGAGTACTTAGCGTAAATATTAAGCAACCTAACTAATAGGGTTCCAACTCCCAGCAACAACAAAAATAAATAAATAAAAAATAGGGAACCACCCCTCACGCGCCACCTCATGATGCTTAATCGACGTAATCAACATTAATTTGATGCAGTGTGAAAAAAAATGCACAGAAATCAATTATTTTTCAAGAAATATTAAATAGATTCAACATCTTTCTTCAACAAAATTGCAGACTGCACAGATGGTACCTTCCCAAAGGAAAAAGTACTATAGCTTACTAGGGTATATATATTAGACTTAATAGTCACTATATACAGTAATTGACTTCTATTCATTTTACATCAAATTAAAACTTTGGGTGTCAGATAATTATTTATTAAAAGCTAGACATTTTAAATGAGAATAAGAAAGAAAAGTATGTCTTTGTGCCCCCTTTTCCCAGTTAATGCCCTATCGGCCCCCCTGGCTAAACTTTGCTAGATCCGCCCCTGCACAGTTACCAGCCGTCAGCTACGTAGAAAAAGATCCTCGAGTAGAAAGTAATATTAAATAAATTGTAACAACAGCTTATCAAGCTTAAACGTGCTGCTGTTGTTCAGCCGCTGGTTTCCTCTTTCTGGCGCAAAGTGGACCAAAAACAAAGAAGAGAGACTCGCGACAGAAAAGCCGATCAGCTGATCATTAGCAGTTTCACGATTGAAGTAGCAGCCGGAGAGCGAGAGGCAGTCGCTCGTTAAGCTTAACGCAGGAATGCTTTACAAAGATTCAGAGATGGACTTACACACTTGCTTTACTTCTCTCGGGGATAACTTTGTCGGAGATGAAATGCCAGGTTGCTAGCGAAGCTCCAAATGCTATCCAGACCACCGACAGGTCCCGCATGCCACAGCCACTCTATCACGTGATGCATACTGCTCCGATGTGCTAACGTTCTGAGGTGAGTTACCGCGTGTTGCAAGTTTTGTGAGGTGCTTTCGTGATATTTAATGGATCGGATTACATTTTTTATTTTTCTCCGATATCCGATCCAGTAATTTAGGTCAGTATCGGACCGATACCGATACGTAATATCGGATCGGTCCATCTCTAGAGAATACCAAAAGTCCTAAAAGACAGAAAACAACGTTTAACATTTCAAGGACCCTCTAGGATGTTGGCACATTATTAACGTCCACATCTAAGAGACACCTTCATCAGTTAAAACACAGTGTTCACAATAAGATGCAAAAATAAATATATTTCTTTGGAAAGAAACTGTGCTAAATACTGATTAAAACTAATACAATTCATTTTGAAATTAAAGTGCATTTATATGTTGTCTGTTATTTAAACACTATAAATAAATATAGTACTAAATAAGTATACCCCCTACTGCTTTCACAAGTTTTAAGAGGGTTTATGAGGTTTGAAGAGGCATCCACATGCTGCTAATCAAATCCATGAGGATGTTTAACTGATCATCAAGCAAATTCAACCCAAAGTCAGACTGTACAATGCTCAGATAAAGTCCAATAAAAAAAGAGCTGCACGTCAGACTCTACAAAGCCTCACTCAGCATGTTAGATGTTTAAGATCAGTTTATATTGTGAACCAGACTGGAATTATAATTTGTTTTTAACAAATGTATTAAAGGTATTTTAATATTGGAAGAAATCTGCTTTAGTAGTGCACTTTCAAACCAGTGTTTTGGTTAGGATGTTTGAAAACACTCTGTATATTTCCTGGGGGTGAAATTCCACTAGGTGGCGTGGTCGCAGCTTAATCATAACATCTCTGACCACCTACACACACACACAAAAAAATTTCCCACAACTATGTGAGAAACTGATAACATTGTAAAGAAAGTGGTTACTGCAAGTCATTGCTGCTAAAGGTTTTTTAAAAGCTACTGAATGATGGGGTATAATTAGTCTTTCACAAGACTGCAAAGAGTCCTGTGAAAGCTTTATTTTTCATCAGACTGTAAAGTTCAATATGGCCCACGCTCTCTCAGTTTGATGAAAACGGAACTTTGTACTAGAAGTAACGTTCACCTCTCCCACTTAAAATGGGTTTTCATTTATTCTTTTAAAAGTCAGAGGTTACATTGATAGTCCTTCGAATTCCATTAGTACCTCATTAAAATGGGAGTATTTTATTTTTTAAAAAACACATATAGAAATTATTAGTTTTAGTTTGCTTTTTTGTGCATTTACCACCAAGATACCGAAAGTTAGGCCAAAAAGAAACTCAAAGTTACCTAAAAGGTTTTACTCCTGTCAACTCAATAAAATAATCAATTTTTCAGATAGATACAGAGTTAAGGAAAATCCCTTTGTACTTAAAGAACATCTTTATTACTCACCACATAGTGAAAAGATGAGTATGAAGAAGCTTAGCATCCTCACAGATAGCATGCTTGAACAGCATGCAAGAGGAATAATGAGATGGAAGGAAGTGAGCAGTGTTTCAGGATCGTCCAGACGATGTCCAGCTTAAGGACCCGGGTTAGATGAATATCAGTTCGATGCAGGAGATATGATGTCCGCCTGACAGGCTGGCAGTATCACATGCAGAAAGAAAACATAGAGGAAATTCAATGCTCTTGTGTACAGGAAACACTGTGAAACCCGAAATACAAAACCACATCCAGAGCCAGCGCTTTGTGAAGTAACGGTAGCTTAATGATGCCCCTCCCCCTATGTTTTGTGCCATTATTCACTGTTCTTTTACAAAGTGTCTAATTTCTACAAAGAAGAGAGAAATTATGTGAGTTTACAGAGAAATACAAATTCTAGCACAAAAATGCACCACAGAAGGCAGATTTGTCAACCTAATCCATTTTAGTGATCACCCAGTTATTCACAGTCGATGTACATGTCATAGTTTTTATGTTTTTAATAAACACAGACACAGAAAGTTTGTTTCATTCTCTCTACACTTATGTGAGAATCATCCACATCATCTTTTTCTGTTTGCACATGTTCAGAATATAACCCTTTTTATGCTGGTTTGGTCATCATGGAAACTTGTTTGAGGGAGCAGGATCCTCCTTTGAACGCCATCGTGGTAGTGGCTTTAATAGTGTCTAATAATAGTGTTTAATAGTGTATATGACAGAGTTATTTATTGTATTATTCATTTCTTTAGTTATTATTAGTTATTTTAATTAGTTATTATTATTTATTTAGTTATTTATTGTAAGTGTTAATTCCTGGCTTTCAAAGGGCAAAAGGTCACCTATACTGCTCCCATTTCCGACCCATCTTGTCTCCTCTAGATGACTTTCCACCCTCCCTGAGCTCGACTCTGCTCACACCAGACCCACATGCATCAGCTGGTACTCTGCGGTCAGTCCTGCTATGCCCTTGAGTGAAGGGAAAATATGCATTAAGGGAGGATGTACAAAAAGCAACATGCAGATACAGTTTTATAATATGTCAACATATAGCATTTTGAAATTCAGCAGTATTAAATAAAAACATGAAAGGCATTTTATAAAGTTCCCTTACCACTAGGGAAAGTCTCATAAACAACTTCTCAGTTTGGTTTAAATAAGCAATTGAAAATCTGAGTGTAAAACCACGGTGGTAAGATGGGCATAGGAATCTGAAAAAGTAAAAACGTATGCAAAGAGATCAGCCTTAATGGTCTGTCATGACAGGCATGCTCTCGCAACCACACCATGTGCTCTCTTTCTCTTTAGCCATTTGAGGAAGTGGTGAAAAAAAGAAAAGAAGACACTTGAGGAAGTGGTGCAACACAGAAATTATCCACACTTTTGTGTTCTATTGTTCATATCCTGTTCTTAACTGCAAGCTCAAAAGGCAAGTATTATAAAAACATAAAGTCTTTTGTTCAGTGATAATGCTGCTAGCTGTTTTTCTCAGACAGATAGGATCGAAACCAGGGAGTCATTAATGCTACCAGCCTCTGCTGTTTATCTGAGCAGTTAAATAAATTTGACAGGAAATAGATACACTGCTCAAAAGATTAAAGAAACAGTTTGAAAACACATCATAACTCACCGGGAAGAAAATCACAATAGATAATATGTTGGAAATTAAAGGAGGCCACATCATTTAAGGGGAATGACAGTTATCAAGCTATCAAAGTGAAAGAAATGATGTGACAGGCTAGCACATTTTGCTGATACTTTTTTATCTGCAAACAGCAAAAAGATAGTATGTCTCAGTGTGCATGCTTTCTACCCTAATTGAGCATTCAAACCATGTTGTACAACAAGCTTCACTGACACACAAGTTCACCAATCTGTGGGCTCATTCACTATTTTGCAAAAGGCTGCAAAGGTAAACACCTCAATTCTAAGAAGGTTTGTAATAGTGCAGCATATAAAGTTCTTTTTTGTGTTAAAAAAAAACCCAAATCAAATTCATGATTTGTTATAGTCACAATACACAGCATTCATGAGCATATGAGTATGGTTGTGTTTAGCAATTTGTAGCTCCAGGCAAGAGATTTAGTGTTAAGAAGAGGAAAATGCTTGGCACCAGGGGTTTGTGTTGCTGTTTTCACTAGCCTAGCAAAAAGCCCTGCCTTGCATTCTCATATCTGCCTCCAATCCCCATGCCATCTACAACACAGATACTGGAAAACAATCCTGTGATTTTGCTTTGTGCAGATATACATCATGACACTACTAAAAACCACTTGTAATGTTGATTTGATAGGTTAGTGGAGCATTCTGCAACTAAGCATGAGTTTAGATGTGTGTAATCACATACACCACAGATGGTGGTGGTAAACATCTCATTCTCTTTATTCTAAAGCTTCTCAAGGACTCCTTGCTCTTTTTCAGTAGTGTTAGAATCTTAAAAAGAAGGCGACTGGAGTTCTTTAAACTCTAGGAAGTTTAATCATCATGTTCTTTAGCTCTAAAGACTATGACCCGGATTACTGAGAAACTACACAGATACAGTTTCAATTTCCCTATCATAAAATCACAATTATTTTTGTTAAACCCCTTTAATAAAGCTGAAAATCTGCACTTCAGTTACATTTTAATTGAGTTTAAATGTTTGATTGTCCAAAACTTTATAGACCCCAACCATATCAAGTTTTAGTTGCAGCTGTTATAACTGTATAGTTGCCATGTTATCAATAATCCATAACTTGTTGTCCAACTTGACTTCAGTGGCAGATATGATATAATTTGATTTTAACAGCTAGGGTTGTTGGCTTTTATTGAGCAATGACCTGCAGTTTGCACTGGCGCAGTTTGCAGCCAAGTTTGAAGTGACTGGGATCTAAATTACCTCCAAGTCTGATGCCCTGGCTCTCAGCTGGAAACAAGTTGCTGCCACAAGTGGAGACGCTTAAGAGTCTCAAGATCTCAAGAGCAAACAGATTGGTACAGTATCTGCGTTGATGCTGATTTTGTACTACTCTGTTGTGTTGAACACAGAGCGTGGAGTGTGAAGGCAAAGATGTACTGGTCAGTACAAGTTCTAGGTAGTGACTCAGAAAATGAGACCATGGATCCAAGTGGCCTTTGGAGATAACACAAGGAATTTGGGCATTTGGTAGGGGCTCAGAATAGAGCTGCTACTTCTTCTCCAAATTGAAAGAGCCAGTTGGAGTGGTTCAGGCATTAAATCAGGATGCCTCCTGGCCCTCGCATGTCCTACCACAACCCAGTATCACAGCTAAATGTTTAATGACATCTCAGTCCACCGTGTCCATTTCACGCTTTGGAGATGCAAATCATGATTCATGTTTCATATTTAGACTATTTACATAAGTTGAAACTCCACTTAAGTACCTCAATAGTGTATGAGTTTGTTATGATCCTGTACATGATTTTCTTAGGTTTTGAAATTTAAGAAATGTGTTTATTGTTTGGGTTTTGATTTCTGTTCTTTTTTTTTTTTTTTTGGAGTTCTGGTACACAAATAGTTCACAGACTGGGTTAAGTTGAAAATAATGTTTTTATTAAACACACAGACACAGATTAAGTTTGTTTTATTCTCTCTACACATGTGAAAATCATCTACATCATGTCTTACCTTTGCACATGTCCATAATTTAACCTTGTTATGTGGGTTTGATCACCATGGAAACTCTCTTCAGGTTGGTTAAGTAGTGTCCACTCTGATACCACACATCATTCATATTGGATTGGGCACATATTTGATACTATCAGGCTCATTTATGATAATTTAAATAACCACATTAATGGGAAAAAGTCAACATACAGCAGACAGCAATCAGTGGAAGTGGAATCCAAACTGGTGAGACATTGTGCCAGGAGAGGGAGTCCCCTTGGATTGCTATGATATTAACCCGACTGTAGCTGTTACCAGTCACTGTCAGGTTCCACATAGAAGCTGTTATATTTAGTTCTAAAGTAAGCAATGTCTAATGAATAGATTATGTAGTAGAAGCAATATTGCCTTCCTCTACATAAATTATAGAGGTCAGTTAGCATTTATCTAAATAAATAAATGCATCAGTTGTTCACTTCTATTGCATGCAGTTTATTAAAGTTTGAGTTTCATTTCTTTATTAGTTCCATACCATCACTGCTCACTCTCTTACTATAAAGCTGTCATTTACTCCCAATTTTTACTTGGTGAACGGTGAACATAAAGATGTGAAGTTCTTCTCTCTTTGGCCTGGTGTTGGAAACAGTGAGTGTGACGAAGGTGTGCTCCCTGGCTCAGCTGCAGGAAAGGGGTGGTGCAGTGAGTTCAAGGGGCAGTGCCAGAGAGGTTGGTGGGACAGGTGTGTGGTGTTTTAGTTAATAAGCTCTCTCGCTCTCTCTTTTCCTGTGTTATATTTAATGAAGCCGGAGGCTCCATCATTAGGTACGGGCTCAAAATCAAAATTGCTGGTGATATCCAAATCAACACAGTCTACGTCTGTTTGGGAAGTGCTGCTTGTAAGCAGACTACATGCAAATGATAAATGAACATTCAGGCTCTCCACAGGTCAAATGCAAAAACGTTCCTGGGTACAAACCATGCTGGTAATTCAAATGTCTAAATACCACTGAGTATCTTGCAAATGTAACAGATGAACTTTTCCAGTCAAAGTGCTGAATAGTGGATGTATTCAAACTGTACTGTAAAGAATTCTTGCTCTGATTTCCCTGATCCAAGGATTCTCCTTCACACTGCCAACATCAATGCCATACATCGTGGTCTGGATGAAAGTGTAGAAGACACAGGAGGAAGGGCTGAGCGGGGCCGGTTTCCTTGAGAAAAACCTCCACGCTTCCTCCCACCTTGATGAATTTCATCAGGTGGTCAGGCAGCATTAGATGTGCTAATCTTTGAAGACTTTCTTCCCTTAGATATTGGAGGTAACAAGTTAAGCAGCAGAAGGACGGCAGACACTTCACAGTCCCATACACCCTCGTCAGGATCATGCTGTGCAGAAACAAGCACCTCATCCAATTCTGCACTCTGAGGCAGATTGCAATCTTTGATGATTCTTGGCTTGAAGAGTGTTGGCCACTTGGCGAGTAATTTTGAGCTAGAAGAAGGGAGTAATACAAGAACTTTGTCTCCGGGTGAAAATTGCCTGAGTGTGGCCTCTCTGTTATACAGGCGATGCTGACATTGCTAAGCCTGGAGCAAATTCTCCCAAATCAACCTCCCCAATGTGTGGAGTTTTACTCTCAGGTCCAGCACGGATTGAATTTCATTCTTTGAGGGGCTCGGACCTTCCTCGCAGCTTTCCCTAATCAGGTCGAGCACCCCACGCAGCTTCCTGCTGAACAGCAGTTCAAAGGGAATAAATTCAGCCACTCCAACAACCCAGTCAATAAGTTCAAACAGGACCTACATTAATGGTAGGGGGCACAAAGGTGCTTTTGGTATGGTTGGCTGGTTAATAAGTTGGCATTCCGGAAAGGATGCGCACCAGCAGCGCACATCCTCTCGGATGCCTGGCCAAAAAAATTGGGTCATAATTTGCTCTTGTCAAACCCCCTATGCCCTGCCCTGCCATGGGGTTATAGTGAGCCACCAACAAGTGGGTGTGTGTCTCCTCCGTGCAAGTGTCACAACTCACTCGATACAGCCTATCTTTTAAAAATACAAAACACAAGTAGGTCCGCATGGCTTCAGGGCACACCACGTAAGCATCAATTTCAATCACTTGGTCAAAGGCTGAGCACAGGGTGTCATCACGAGACTGCTCCAGTGGAAAATCTCCCATGATGGGAATTACATTACATGCTACTAATGGTTGTGATCGCATCCCCGCATAGGGTGAGAAGCTTAGCAATCCGGGAGGGGCTCATTATGGACATACTTAAGAGTCCATTCTTTCACATCGAATGGAGCCAGTTGAGGTGTTTTTTTGCATCTGACAAGGATGCCTCCTGGGCGCCTCCTGGGTGAGGTGTTCCAGCATTATCCTACTGGGAGGGGGCCCCGGGGCAGACCCAGGACACGCTGGAGAAATTATATCTCTCGGCTGGCCTGGGAACACCTTGGTGTTCCCTGGACAAGCTGGAGGAGGTGGCTGGGGAGAGAGGGGTCTGGGCTTCTCTGCTTGGGCTGCTGGCCCCGGCCCCAGATAAGTGGAAGAGGACGGACGGATGGACTCTTAAGTATGTCCATAATGACCACTCCCATTAAAAAACTTAACACCCTCAACTCTGCTACATCCAGATCCACTTCCTGTCTTTTTGTTAGTGCCACCATCTTCAAACATCACACATGAGACACAGGTCTCGCTATCATCTTGCAAACCTTCAACTTTCACCATTGCTGCTATTCTTCTGTCACAAGGAACCCCTGACTGCACTCTCTTATTAATCTTACTAGTACAATGTCCATTGCTTTGGGTGATTGACCCCACATTACCAGGTATTTAAACACATCTACCTTCACTATCTTTACTCCTTGCAGCTTCATTGTTACGCATGTGTCCTTCTCATTTACACACACATATTGTGCTGACTTTAATTCCTCTTTTCTCCACAGTATTTTGCCACCTCTCCATATTATTGTTCACCTGCTCACTACAGATAACAGATACAGATTGTGAGTATCATAGATTATGAAGAATCCTGCATAAAATACTAATCACCATCACATACCTCTGACACTTAACTTCCTCACGCAGTACAGCAATTCCCCTCTTGGGAACTGGCCAGATGAGATATATAATCTCTCCACGGGGGTCTGGGTCTCTCCCAGGGTCTGCCATGGTTGCCAGTTAGGCTGAGAATACCTCTTCTCATCCTATCTCTAAGACTGACCCCAGCCTGTGTACAGAGGAAGCTCATTTTGTCTGTCTGCAGTCCTGACCTCAATCTCAATGAACATTTGGAGATCAGCTTGGACATCCTGTTTGTGCCAGAGTGAGCAGCACAACCACTGACTAGCAGTGTGTGAAAAGCTGGTGACCAGGATAAGGAAGCTGTGCCGGGCTCTTGTCTCTATGTATGTTTTTTTCCAACAGTGTAAGATTTATTGCAAAAAAAAAAACATTGTTATAACAAAAAAAATATTAAACTCAAATTTCCTTACATGATGTGTTAAGTTTCTAAGTTTTATTATCTGCTGCCTGAGAAATCTCTGAACCCTTACATGCGATTTCAGATTTAACAGCTGGTGGTCAATGTGAAACTGCCTCTGTAGTCAGACTTTGCTTGTGATATTTATTATTTTTTTATTTATCTTTTGATTACTTGTTTTTTAAGAAAGGAAAACACATGACATAATTTTATTTTTTAAAAAATATTTATTTAATTAATAGAAAAGTAATAGAAGTAATAGAAAATAAAACTTTTTTTAAAAGCCCATCAGCATGGATCCATTGTTGAAGTGGGTGGGCCCACATTTCCAGGAATGTGAAGCTTGGAGTTTTTTATACAAATGGGTGTAGAACTTCTTTTTTAATGAAAGAAAAATAATTAGGTAGCACATAAAATTAAGTTTTTGCTTCGATTTACAGAAAGCAGCAGATATCTTATTTGTTTCCATTAGTTTGTGTCAAAGGGATATCTTTGTCAGAAACAAAACTATAATGTCCATGTTTTTTCCACTGATTGCGACAGTAGAACACAATGAAGATGGAGATGATGATGGCTGCTACAAATGGCAAAGCCCAAATGACTGCAAAAGTGATTTTATTGGTTTTACCTGTAAGATAAAAAAAAAAATAAAACCAAAGTTTACTTCTCAAAACTTCCTAAAATACATTGATCAATTTAAACATCAGCTAACACTTCTCTTTAGTCATCAGTGTCCTCTAAATGTCCCACAGCAATATTAGGCTTGAAATAAACAAAGACGTGTACCTCTTGGTTCAACATGAACATTGATCGTCTTGGTTACGCTTCCCAGATAATTGGCAGCTGTGCAGGTGCAGGTTTTACTGCGATTTACTCGAGTTATATTGAGACTGTTTGTGTTCGCTAACATATTCTCCCCATCACAAGTCCAGTTATAGACAGAAGGAGGGTTTCCTTCAGCTTCACAGCTCAAGGTGATATTAGAACCTTCAAGTAGATAGTCATGATTACTATCTTTTGTGTTTACCTTTGGAGCATCTAAAGAGACAAAAAGATGTTTGTTATTTGTTTAAATAATTACTTGTTGTATGCCTCATTTTCACATTGTTAAATTCAGTTTAGAAATGAAAAAATCCAAGAAATATTCTGTTTTTGTGTAAACAGCAGGATGTTTACTCACAGTGGGCTGAAACATTGTGTGTTTGAGAAATAGCGGGAAATTTTGGTCCACGTGGTCCAAAGTCCAGCTTGGCCTCACATCTGAGCTCAACGACTTTTTCTTCTTTGCTGATGTTGACTCTCAGAATAGAGGACTCATTTACTGGTGTTTTGGCTGTGTTACTGAAAGATTCTGTCTTGATGATTTTATTGTTTTTATACCAAGTAATAGTGAGATACTGAACAGGAGCAACATTGATGATGTCACACTGCAGTTTGTATTGTGTCTTGGTGTACTTCTTGTCCTCTTTGTGCTTCAACATCAGACCATGATTTATTTCAGAGATTGACACGGTCTCTGGGGTTTCTGCAAATGAAGCAAAGTAAAAAATACATTTAGAACATATGGCAAATGGATGCGCTTGTTAGCATCAATATGAGAAGAATGAATGCATAAATGCATTGATATTAAAAGGTTGGGTTTTTCTTGCCACTAACAGAGTCTTCTTCACAGTTCTACATGAAAGTACAACATTTGGATCAGAGCTACAGCAGGTTACTCGACAACATCGTCTTCAAAGTTGCAGTGTGAGCAAACTGAAATTATGCCTTTGTTATACAAAAATAAATAAATAAAAGTATTTTACATCATAGCCTGTTTCATCTTAATTTCTAGTACAATAATGCAGTTTTGACAGATGTACTTACTATAAACAATGATGACTGGGCTCACAGAACACTGAAAATTGTCATTTAGAGTGATGCTACAGAAAGGACTTGGAGTCCACCATTTCAGGTTTTTAACCATCCAAGTGACATCAGAACCAGGTTTAAATTCTTTGTCTCCAGCAGGAGTCACCCAGGCCATTTCAGCAACATCTGTGGCTGATGTGCTGCAGTTGATTGAAACTGGATCTCCAAATCTCACAACCATTTCAGAGGGTGCCAGAGTTAGAGGACAACCTGCCATTCACAATACCTTCAGTTAGACATGATTTGTTATCAAATCAAAAATAAGACCCCCAACAAAAGAATAACACCCACAACATTAGAGATCAAATAAAAATAAATTTAAGAAATAAATAACAACTAAATAATAATAAAAGATGTGTACCTCTTGGTGTGATATGAACATTGATTGTCTTAGTTATGTTTCCCAGATAATTGGCAGCTGTGCAGGTGCAGGTTTTGTTGCGATTGATTCGAATAATATTGAGACTGTTTGTGTTCTCCAGCATATTCTCCCCATCACAAGTCCAGTTATACACAGGAGAGGGGTTTCCTTCAGCTTCACAGCTCAATGTGATGTTAGTGCCCTCAAGTGGTGAGATGTCAACAGTACAACTTGTGTTGATCTCAGGAGCATCTGAAGAGACAGTTTTTCTTATCATTTTCACATTTACATAATAGAAAGCTGTAATGAATAGAACTTTTGTTTAATCTAGCCTAAAAAATACAATTAAATAATCTTCTGTTTGTGTGTTAACCTCAACATTTTTACTCACAGTGGGCTGAAACTCTGTGTGTTTGAGAAATGGCAGGAAGTTTTAGTCCATGTGGTCCAAAGTCCAGCTCAGCTTCACATCTGAACTCAGTGGCTTTTTCTTCTCTGCTGATGTCGATTCTCAGAATCGAGGACTCATTTACCAGTGTTTTAGTTGTTGTGTCATTGAAAGACTCTGTCTGGATGGTTTTATTATTTTTGTACCATCTCACAGTCAGATGTTGAACAGGAGCAACATTTATGATGTCACACCGTAACCAGTACTGTGTTCTTGTTTCTTTATTGTAAGGCACTATGTGTACTTGTTCCTCCATCATTTGACTTTGATTCAGTGGATATATTGACACAATGTTTGGTGTTTCTGTGAACA